CCAGGGCACGGAGCGGGACACCGACCCTTAGTGCTCGAATGGCGGCCTGGAAGTCGTTTGCTGTGCCTGGCGTTACCTCCTCAATTGCAAGAGAGACAGGAAGGGAGATGGTCCTGGGAGGCGGGAGGAAGGAATGGGGAGCTCAGAGAAAAGGCCAAATTTGCCCACTGGTACCGGGCTGGGCTGACACATATTGCCACCACTAACATGCACCAGTGATAGATAGAGCTGCCAGCCCTTATTCTCTGGACCTGCAGCCAGGACACCACTTGGTGACAGCCTGCACCGTGTCTGCAGGGTACCTGGGCTTGTATGTGTTCTATGTGGTCACTGTGATTCTCTGCACCTGGATCTACCGATGGCAACGGAGAGGATCTCTGGTCTATTCCATGCCAGTTACTCCAGGTAGGTGTCTGCATCGGACCTCAGAGAGGACCAGCGGGGACTAGGAGCCTCTGTGCCCTTCACTGCTGCCCTGGGTCTCTTGAGGCCATTGTCCCCACCAAGTTCATCTCCTCTTCACCATGTTGGCCAGGATAGTCTTGATCTCTTGACTTCATGATCCTCCCACCTCAGCCTCCGAAAGTGCTGGGATTACAGGCGTGCACCACCATGCCTGGCCTCTTTATGCTTTCTCTACTCATCCTGCTGAGGTCCTGCCTCTATGCTTCCATGGGTGCCCATGAGCATCCTCATCTTCTGCAGGTTCAAGTGCGCTCCTTCTTCCTCTATGCAGTTGCTAGGGCAATCTCTCTAAGAATCGACACTGCTCCCTGCCCTGATGTTTCCCAGCACTCTCAGGGTAAAACACAAATGCTGCCATGACAGGGACACTGAGAACTAAAAAATAATTACAAAGAAATCAATAGTATTCAAACATAGTCATATAAACAAGTACATGCACACATACAAATACATGCACATATATATACAAATACACAACTCACACACTTAAATACATGCACACACATACATACATGCACACACATACACAAATACAACTCACACACATATATGCACACACATACATCCAACATAGATAAATACATGCACACACATACGACACACACAGATATACAACTCACAAACATATACATTTATAGATATACAAATATGCAGCTTACACACATATACATGCACACCCACTCAAATACACAACTCACACATACATGCACACAAATACATGCACATACACACACCCAACATATATATAAATATATGCACACTTACACATATACACAAATATGTGTGCACAACACATATGAATATATGCACACACATGCAACATGCATGCACATATACAGAAATTTATGCTCACATGCAACACAAATATGTGTACATACATATATATGAATACATGTACACGTGCGACACATGCATACACATCTGAAACAAAAACATGCACATGCATACACATACACACACATACAAACACGTGCACACAACACACACAAATATATGCATGCAGACATGCAGTGCACATATAGAGACATGCACACACTATACAAATATGTGCACACATGCAACATACACAAGTATATTCACACACATAACACACACAAATATGTATATACACACCACACACATGCAACACAGATACTTGCGCATACATGCAAACATACAATTACAAGCATGCACATACACAACACACAAAAACATAAATGCACAACATACACAAACACAAATTTATGCACACATACATAACACAAATACATGCGCACACAACACAAATACATGCACATACATACACAACACACAAATAATACACACACCAATACACAACATGCAGTACATATACACAAATACATGCACATACACAGCACATATACAAATACATACACACACATACATAACACACACACAACACACTCAAAGGCAGCATCAGAGCTAGAGCGGACTCCTCACTCTAGGAGGGCCGTTTTCCTTACAGGCCCCAGGCCTCAACATCCACAGGCCTCCTGAGAAGAGAAAAATAGCATGGGTTCCAGTTTCTGAAAAAGACAACACTGAAGTCAGTGAATGTCTGAGTTGTGTCTTCAGATGCCTCTGTTAACTTTAGCATTATAGCTGCATGCTTCCGTTTGGCCGTGTTTGGTGAATTAGACTTTCTCACTGTGCAGGAATTCCCGAGCACGCATGTAAACTGCTAGAAATCCAAAATAAAGAGGGCCTGGATGTGGCCAGAGCAGTGGCTCAGGCCTGTAATGCCAGCACTTTGGGAGGCTGAGGCGGGTGGACTGCTGAGGCCAGGAGTTTGAGACCAACCTGGCCAACACAGCAAGACCCCATCTCTAAAAAAATTTTTTAAAAATTAGCTGGGCGTAGTCTCAGCTACTCAGGAGGCTGAGGTGGGAGGATCGAGTGAGCCCAGGAGGTCAAGGCTGCAGTGAGCCGTGATCACGTCACTCCAGAGAAAGCTCCTGTCCCACACAACTAAGTAAATAAGATGGCTGGACGCTTGCAGCTTACCCCTGCTCTGTCCCAGCGGTGCCCCTTGAGAACGGTCTGGGTTCTGCAGCTAAGCCTGTCTCCTGCAGAGATCCTCTCAGACTCCGAGGAGGACCGGGTATCTTCTAATACCAACAGCTATGACTACGGTGAGTTCACGCCCTGTGCTTAGCTAGAGTGGGGGTCCCAGGGCAAGGCTGGGGTAGAAAGATGGAGCCCTCCAAGACCTGGGTTCCAGGAATGAGGCTGCAAATCGGCCCTATATCTCACTGCAGCTCAGGTGAGCCAAGGGCCAGGGTCACCTGCCCTCTGCTGGGCACTGGGCTTTGCCTTCTCCCGAAGGGCTGGGAGGACCGGTGGGGTGGGAGCAGGGAGGGTTTCCTGGAGGTCAGGTCAGCCGCAAGCACACCACACCACCCACCCCCTACACGTAGGTGACGAGTACCGGCCGCTGCTGTTCTACCAGGAGACCACGGCTCAGATCCTGGCCCGGGCCCTCAACCCCCTGGATTATATGAAGTGGAGGAGGAAGTCAGCGTACTGGAAAGCCCTCAAGGTGTTCAAGGTAGGAGGGGGCCTGGAGCCAGGCTCACAGCCTAGTGACAGCGGCAAGACAGTGGCTACTGTACCCTCTCCAGCTGTATGAGAGGGAGGGCCTGGGGTCCGCTGAGACCCTCTCAGAATACATGGGGAAACTGAGGCATGGAGTTTGGCTGATGACTTGACCTGGCGCTCTGCCCTCCAGCGGCCCCCAAAGACATCCATATCCCAACCCCTGGGGCCTGGGAAGATGCTGCAGTCACGGCAGAAGGGCCTTTACAGACATGATGGAAGATCTGGAGACGAGCCTGGCTTATCCTGTGGCCCAGTGTCATCACAAGGGTTGGCACGGAGAAAGAGGGAGACAGGAGGGGCAGAGTCAGAGACTGGGAAGTGGCCACAGAAGCACAGGTAGAATGATGTGGGGTCAGGAAGGCAGGTGGCCCTTGGAAGCTGGAAGGACCCTCATGCTCCCCTAGAGCTTCCAGAAGGAGCACCCCCTGCTGACCACTTGACCTCAGGACTTCTGCCCTCCAAAACTGTCCAGGAAGACATTTGTACTGTTGAGAGTCACTCTGTTTGTGGTCATTTGTGCCAGTAGCCAGAGGCACCCAGGCGCTTAGCCTGGGACCTGCATACAGTCGGCGCTCGAAAACAAACGGCCAAGCTCTTGAGTCACTGAAGTCCGTCTGTGGCTGGCTGGGACTCAGGCTTCCCTACGGACGCCCTCCCATCTTCGCCCCCTTGACAGCTGCCCGTGGAGTTCCTGCTGCTCCTCACCGTCCCCGTCGTGGACCCGGACAAGGATGACCGGAACTGGAAACGGCCCCTCAACTGTCTGCATCTGGTCATCAGCCCCCTGGTCATCGTCCTGACCCTGCAGTCGGGGACCTGTGAGTACCCCACCCCAGGCCAATCCACCTTCCTCCTGCTTCCCACATTCTGCAGTTTTCTTCCGCCCAGGCTGGAGTGCAGTGGCACAATCTCAGATCACTGCAACCTCCCCCCGCCTCTTGGGTTCAAGTGATCCTCCCACCTCAGCCTCCTGGGCAGCTGGGATTACATGTGTGGCCACCACACCTGGCTAATTTTTGTATTTTTCATTGAGATGGGGTTTCACCATGTTGGTCAGGCTGGTCTTGAACTGCTGACCTCAAGTGATTCACCCACCTCAGCCTCCCAAAGTGCTGGGATTATAGGTGTGAGCCACCGCGCTCGGCCAGTGGAGTTTTCGTCACAACCACACCAGGGAGGTTTTGGCTAGAGGTGGAATCCTGGACATACAGCTGGTGCTTATTATGTGCCTGTGCCATAAGGGTCACCAGCCTGGAAGTTCGCCCTCCTGCAATTAGTTGGTCCCATCCTGCTGGCCCCAGATGGAGACTGCAAAACAGGTAGCCCCTGGGCCACGTCCAGCTCTCTGGCTTGTTTGCCTGCATTTAAAAATTGGGGGATTTTACATTAAAATCTGGATTTTGGCTTCTCAAGATCCGGGCCACATTCCTGAAGGCAAAACTGGCTGGAGCAGAGAAGGGGCACCCGCTATGGGGTGTCTGCGACATAAATCATCACAGTTGCCTCCACTGCCTGCTGGGTGCCCCGGGCTGACCTTCCTTCCCTCATTTGTGCAACCTGGCTGCTCCCCACTGGCATTTGAATTGTCCCCATCTGCCCCAGAATGTCCTTTTCTTTCTTGCCCTTCTATGGTGGAGGAAATGCTCAAGCTTCTCGTCCCACATTTTATAGCTTCTGCTACCCAGGTTTCTTCCCGCTGTCTGACTAGTACCTCACGTGGCCCGTTTCCTCACTATCATCTGGGCTCCTCCCCCTCAGCCCAGGGCGTCGCTTGGAGGTAGGGGTAGGACTGCGGCATAGATGTGTGGCTGGGCGTGGCATTGTGCACTGTAACAGTGTCAGGATGAAATGGCCGCCCTGCCACATTTTCCGTGAATTTTCCCCCTGGTTTGTGGGAGGATGAAGGTGTGGAGGGAAGGAGACTAGGAGGTGAGGTGATTGATGTGGAGTGACTCAGAGCTGAAAAGGGCCACCCCCCAGGGCTGTCTGGTTCATCACAGCCCATTGGAGGGAATCATTCTCCATCCATTCTCCATGGAGCTGGGAAGCCTTGCCTTTCAGGCCAGGGCAAATGCAGGGACCTGCTTTTCCAAGCGTTGTGGCTTCCTTCCTTCCTTCCTCCCTCCCTTCCCTCTTTCCTTCCTCCCTCCCTCCCTCCCTTTTCTAAGCATTGTGCCTTCTTCCTGCCTGCCTGCCTTCCCTCCCTCCCTCCCTCCCTCCCTCCCTTCCTTCCCTTCTTCCTTCCTTCCTTCTTTCCTTCCTTTTCTCCCTCCCTTCCTCCCTCCCTCCCTCCTTCCCTCCTTCCTTCCTTCCTTTCTTCCTTCCTTCCTTCCTTCCCTCCCTCCCTTCCTTCCCTTATTCCTCCCTTCCTTCCTCCTTTCCTCCCTTCCTCCCTTCCCCTCCCTCCCTCCCTCCTTCATTCCTTCCTTCCTCCCTTCCTCCCTTCCCTCCCTTCCTTTCTTTCCTTCCTCATGTATTTTTTGAGATGGAGTCTGACTGTCACCCAGGCCTGAGTGCAATGGTGCGATCTGGGCTCACTACCACCTCCGCCTCCAGGGCTCAAGTGATTCTCCTGCCTCAGCCTCCCAAGTAGCTGGGATTACAGGCACCTGCCACCATGCCCGGCTAATTTTTGTATGCATTGTGTCTTCTTAAAAGAGCGATTCCCACACATCAGTCATTCACAGCCCATCTTCTCGATTTTTCTCTTACTCTATACTATTACATTTGATATTTTTCTTTGTTTTTCTTGAGACAGAATCTCACTGTATTGCCTGGGCTGAAGTGCAGTGGCGCAATCTTGGCTCACTGCAACCTCTGCCTCTGGGGTTCAAGCAATTCTCCTGCCTCAGCCTCCTGAGTAGCTGGGACTACAGGTGCCCGCCACCACACACAGCTAATTTTTGTATTTTTAGTAGAGATGGGGTTTCACCATGTTGGCCAGGCTGGTCTCGAACTCCTGACCTCAGGTTTACCCACCTCAGCCTCCCAAAGTGCTGGGATTACAGGTGTGAGCCGCTGCACCCGGCCACATTGGATAGTTTTCTTAAATTAGCTCATTATGTTGTCCAGGCTGGTCTTGAACTTTTGGGCTCTACTGAGTATTTGGGACTTCAGGCACATACTACTGCACCCAGCTTCAGATTTTTCTTTTAAGGCAAATTTGTTGAAAAGGAAACTGTGTCACCTGCATTAATAAGAAAGTATAATGGAAATGCATCATTTCCAGTAAATTCAAGGTAACTGCAAAAATAAACACAATAAAAGTAAACCACCAGCCAGGCATGGTGGCTCACACCTGTAATCCCAGTACTTTGCGAAGCCAAGGCAGGAGGATCACTTAAGGTCAGGAGTTTGAGACCAGTCTGGCCAACATGGCAAAACCCTGTCTCTACTAAAAATACAAATATTAGCCAGGTGTGGTGGCGGGCATCTGTAATCCCAGCTACTCAGAAGGCTGAGACAGGAGAATCACTTGAACTCAGGAGGCAGAGGCTGCAGTGAGCTGAGATTGCACTACTGCATTCCAGCCTGGGCAACAGAGAGAGACCCTGAAAAAAAAAAAAAAAAAAAAAAAAAAGAAACCACCGTACTTGGTCCTCCTGAGTCCAACCATGAGCTGGAAGCCTGTACTAGGGAGAACAGCAGGTGTGTGAGGTGTTCAAGTCCTGTTAGCATCTAATGGGAGCTTTCCTTGCTACAATGATGGAACTGAAGAAGGAATCCCGTTCCTGAGATGCGGTTCTGCAGCAGATAGTATCCTGACCACATGGCCTTAATATCATCTAGTGGTAGCAGGTCCACCCTGGGGAAAGACTGGTTCTGGCTAAAGCACTCTTGACCCCCTTCTGGGCTGAGCACTGTCTAGAGAAAACCCCTGGACTGGCTCCCAGCCCGAGGGGGTGCCGTGACTCAAGGTGAGCCTCCCCAGCAGCAGCCTCCAGCCTCCCCCTTCTCCAGGCGTCCCCCGAGAGGCATCTTTGTAAAGTGCTGCTTTTCATATGTTGTGGTCGCTCCTCCACTCAAAGACCTCCATGGCTCCCCAGTGCCTCTTGGGAAAAGTCCATGGCTCTCATTGGGCAGTGGCTTGATCTCGGCCCCCTGTAACCTCTGCCTCCCAGGTTCAAGAGATTCTCTTGCCTCAGTCTCCCAAGTAGCTGGGATTACAGGCGTATGCCACCATGCCTGGCTAATTTTTCTATTTTTAGTAGAGATGAGGTTTCAGCATGTTGGCCAGGCTGGTCTCGAACTCCTGACCTCTAGGCGATCTGCCCGCCTCAGCCTCCCGAGTGCTGGGATTACAGGTGTGAGCCACCACACCTGGCCAAGGCCTGGAGACTCTGAGCCCGCTGCCTCCCACAGCCTTTTCTGTGCTATTCCTGGCACGGATCTGCTTGATTCCATCCTACCCAACTCCCCTCTTCCCACAGAGCCCTTACACTCCTCTCTGCTTAACACTCAGCTCAGATCCTCAGTGTCTTCCCACCCCAGCCACCTCTTAAAATTCCCCTAGCACAGGAGTGACAAATACATTGAAAGGGCTTCCAACCCAGGCATCTGGATCCAAAGCCAGCCAGCTACTCAGGAAGCTGAGGTGGGAGACTGGCTTGAGCCCAGGAGTTCGAGGCTGTAGTGAGCTGTAAGTGTGCCACTGCACTCCAGCCTGGGTGACAGAGCGAGACCCTGTCTCAAAAATAAATAAATAAATCCCTTTTGAAAATCACCCATAATGTGTTCTGTACACAATTTTCTGTGTTCAACCTGCTCACATAATTCTTTTTCTTTTCTTTTTTTTTTTAAGATAAGGTCTTACTCTGTTGCCCAGGCTGGAGTGCAGTGGTGTGATTTCAGTTCACTGCAACCTCCACCTCCCGGGACTCAAGTGATCCTCCCACCTCAGCCTCCCAAGGAGCTGGGACCACAGGTGCCCACCACCACGCCCAGCTAAATCTCAGGCACATAGGAAGTGCCTACCTGACATCCAAACAGTCCGTTCTAAGTGGGTGTTATCTGCAGGTCTCAGTCCCAGAACCCCTCTGTCATTCTGAGGCAGCTGGGAGGGTACCAGCTCCCTTTCTGTCCCTTTGTAGACGGTGTCTATGAGATAGGCGGCCTCGTTCCCGTCTGGGTCGTGGTGGTGATCGCAGGCACAGCCTTGGCTTCAGTGACCTTTTTCGCCACATCCAACAGCCAGCCCCCCAGGCTTCACTGGGTAAGCAGCCCCGGCTCTCCGGTGGGGGGAGGGGATGCTGAGGTCCCCCCGGCAGACGTCCTGTCTGCACCTGGGAGGCACACAATGACAGGTAACTGAACTTTAAAGCTGCTCTTGAGAGTTTCTGTATCTGCCCAGGGTTTTGTTTTGTTCTGGTAGTAGCTTTATTTTGTTGAGATGTAATTCACATACCATGCAATTTACCCATTTAAAGTATACAATTTCATGGTTTTTATTATAGTTACAGAGTTGTATAATCATCACCACAATCAATTTTAGAGAATTTCATTACCCCAAAAAGAGATCTCATGCCTATGAGTCACTCCCATTTCCCCACCCCCTGCATAGCCCCTGGCAACTGCGACTCCACTCTCTGTCTCTATGGGTTTGCCTGTCATGGACATTTTATATAAATAGAATCCTACAATATGTGATTTCCTTGTGTTTGAGTTGGAGTCTCCCTCTGTTGTCCGGGCTAGAGTGCAGTGGTGCAATCATAGCTCACTGCAGCCTCGATCTCCTGGGCTGAAGCTGTCCTCCCACCTCAGCCTCCCGAGTAGATGGGACTACAGGTGCAAGCCACCACGCCCAGCTAATTTTTGTGTGTTTTTGTAAAGACGAGGTCTCACTATGTTGTCCAGACAACTCTCAAACTCCTGGCCTCAAGCAGTCCTCCCACCTCGGCCTCCAAAAGTGTCAGGATTACAGGCGTGAGCCACCTCGCCCAGCCTTGGGTTTCTAAAGACTTCCTAAGGGTAGAATGGTATGGCCTTTGTGGGTGTCTTTTTCCATTTTCTGTAGTCTAGGCACTCTAAGGAATATTTAGGCAGTTTGTCCAGAGATTTTTTTTTTCCTTAAAAGTTTACTTAATATTAAATTAGCTGGGTGTGGTGGTGTGCGCCTATAATTCCAGCTACTTTGGAGGCTGGGGCAGGAGAATCACTTGAACCCAGGGAGGCAGAGGTTGCAGTAAGCTGAGATGCACCATGGCACTCCAGCCTGGGTGACAGAGTGAGACTCCGTCTCAAAAAAAAAAAGTTTATCTAGTATTTTTATTTTGGCTGGGTGTGCTGGCTCACTCCTATAATCCCAGCACTTTGGGAGACCAAGGTGGGTGGATCACCTGAGGTCAGGAGTTCGAGACCAGCCTGGCCTACATGTCGAAACCCTGTCTCTACTAAAAATACAAAAGTTAGCCAGGTGTGATGGCAGGCACCTGTAATCTCAGCTACTTGAGTGGCTGAGGCAGGAGAATCGCCGGAACCCAGGAGGTGGAGGTTGCAGTGAGCCGAGATCCCGCCACTGCATTCCAGCCTGGGTGACGGAGTGAGATACCATCCTAAAAAAACGTTTATATAAAATTTTCATTTTTTAGTACTTAATGATTTTTAAATATTTTAGTTTTTACTTTTAGAAACTCTCAGTGAATGTACTAACCGAAGAGTGTTGAATTTTCAGCAAATGGATCATTTGGGGAAGTTGCCTTTTGCTACTTAGGGAAAATCGTCTTTCACTATTTTTTCAAGTACTGATGTGTGCCACAACGTGGATGACCCTTGCAAACATGCTGCTGAGTGAGAGAAGACACTAGCGGAGGGTCACACACTGTGGCATTCCACTGATGTGGAGTGAACGTGAGGCAGAGAGCAGAGTAGGGGTCCTGTTGGGCTGGTGGGGTGTGGATGGGGAGTGTCTGCTAATGAGTTACATGGATGCTTTTGGAATATTGGGTGGTATTTGGTTCAGAGACTGGAAATCTGTTGAAAGTGATAAGAAACCCTTTCCAGACAAAATAATGTATATTTTTTAATACATGAAAGGGAGTTTTTGTTTTGTTTTGTTTTTGAGACAGAGTCTCACTCTGTCGCCCAGGCTGGAGTGCAGGGGCATGATCTAGGTTCACTGCAACCTCCACCTCCTGGATTCAAACAATTCTCCTGCCTCAGCCTCTCCAGTAGCTGGGATTACAGACATGTGACACCACCCCAACTAATTTTTGTATTTTTAGTGGAGACAAGGTTTCACCATATTGGCCAGGCTGGTCTCAAACTCCTGACCTCAGGTGATCCACCCGCCTCAGCCTCCCAAAGTGCTGGGATTACAGGCATGAGCCACCACACCCGGCCTGAAAGGGAGTTTATTAAGGAAAAAAGAAAATAATATTGAACTCACGTTTTATTGAGCACTTACTATGTGCAGGCACCAATGCATATAGTAACAGGTTTTATGCTCATAACAAACTCATGAGGTAGATGCTATCATCCCATTTCACAGGTGAGGAACTGAGGCTGTGTTCCTGTTGGGGCTGGCCTTGGTCCCATCAGCAAATCATTCCCTCTGCAGCTCTTTGCTTTCCTGGGCTTTCTGACGAGTGCCCTGTGGATCAACGCGGCCGCCACAGAGGTGGTGAACATCCTGCGGTCCCTGGGCGTGGTCTTCCGGCTGAGCAACACCGTGCTGGGGCTCACGCTGCTGGCCTGGGGGAACAGCATTGGAGGTGACTCAGGGCCGGGTGGGGTTGAGTGGGGGTGAGTGCAGCCACATCTTAGCCCTTTCCTCCCCCAGCCAGAGTCGCATCTGGGCAGGTGTCCAGGGTGTCTGCCCTCTGCACCTGTGCAGTGTCCCTGTCACTGTGGAGTGAACAGCATCGGGGTGAGATAGCCCTGACTACAGTGGAACCAAGAAACTCTGCAGAGGCCCCTGCCTCTTCCCCACCCTCTGATGCGGGGATACTCAGTGGTTCCCAGAGTTCAGGCCGGACCTGGAGCCCATTGCGGCCCACCCTGCTTGATGTGCATGTGGTGTGTGACATGCAGGCATTCACACTTACATACATACATGCATACATACACCCTTCCCTAGCTGTAGCAGCCAGGTACAGTTGGCCAGGTTATGCACTGCTCAAGAGCATCCAGACAAGAGGATAAGGGAGCTGAAATCTAGCCCTCACCTTTTTGGGCACCTTTTTCTAATTCACGTGGAGGTACTGTGCATGTTAGCAGCAGACGAGACTTTGAAAAATTGGTAGCCTTGTTTTTCATACCCGCAAAGTAATTCCTGGTGGGAAAGAGTGGGGTAAAGGAATTAAGGAGGGAAGTGTGCCTTCCCAGATGCTGTGCCCCTCACATAGCACCCCACCAGCTAGTGCCCAGGCCCACGTGGGCATCCATCCGTGTTTGTTGCCTGAATGACCGTGGGTGAGAATGAAAGCGTGGATGACCCGGGAGGGCTGGGGAATCAACTCACCACTGGGGGGTCCTCTTGTTCCCACGCAGATGCCTTCTCGGATTTCACGCTGGCCCGCCAGGGCTACCCGCGGATGGCGTTCTCCGCCTGCTTTGGTGGCATCATCTTCAGTATCCTTTCAGGTCTGTTCTTGGCCTTAGTGCTGGTGTCACAGCCACGGGTGACACCCTTTCCTCCTGTGCCCCACCCTGGGGATTGGCTCTAGGTGTAACACCTGGCGCAGGTAACGTGGCTGCCCGAGCCTCAGGCTCCAAGGCTTTAAAATAGGGATGTGAGGCCGGGCGCGGTTGCTCAAGCCTGTAATCCCAGCACTTTGGGAGGCCGAGGCGGGTGGATCACGAGGTCAAGAGATCGAGACCATCCTGGTCAACATGGTGAAACCCCGTCTCTACTAAAACTACAAAAAATCAGCTGGGCATGGTGGCGCATGCCTGTAGTCCCAGCTACTCAGGAGGCTGAGGCAGGAGAATTGCCTGAACCCAGGAGGCGGAGGTTGCGGTGAGCCGAGATCGTGCCATTGCACTCCAGCCTGGGTAACAAGAGCGAAACTCCGTCTCAATAAAAAAAATAAATAAATAAATAAAATAAAATAGGGATTTGGGTCAGGTGCGGCGACTCACGCCTGTAATCCCAGCACGTTTGAAGGCTGAGGCGGACGGATGGATCACAAGGTCAGGAGCTCAAGACCAGCCTGAAACCCTGTCTCTACTAAACATACAAAAAATTAGCTGGGCATGGTGGCGGGTGCCTGTAATCCCAGCTACTCAGGAGGCTGAGGCAGGAGAATCACTTGAACCCGGGAGGCAGAGGTTGCAGTGAGCTGAGATCCTGCACTCCAGCCTGGGCTACAGAGCAAGTCTCTGTCTCAAAAAAAAAAAAAAAATAGGGATTTGGGGAGTGCTGACCTCCTAGGGGTGTTGTTAGGATCCAGTGAGGTGGATGAAATTCCTGGCCCCTGGTAAGAGCTCAGCAGAAGGAACTATTATTGTTAGGACAGTGGTGTGATAAGCAGGTGCCCGCAGGGTGGGCCTATGTATCTTATGGAAGACCCTCTCTCTCTTGCTTATAGGGACATGTCATGGCCTATCTTAGGGGTTGGCAGACTTTTTCTAAAAAGGCCAGAGAATTTTTTTTTTTTTTTGAGACAGAGTCTTGCTGTCACCCAGGCTGGAATGCAGTGGCATGATCTTGGCTCACTGCAACCTCCGCCTCCAGGGTTAAGTGATTCTCCTGCCTCAGCCTCCCCAGTAGCTGGGACTGCAGGCACATGCCACCACACCCAGCTGATTTTTGTATTTTTAGTAGAGACGGGGTTTCACCATGTTGGCCCAGCTGTTCTCAAACTCCTGCCCTCACGTGGTCCGCTGGCCTCAGCCTCCCAAAGTGCTGGGATTCAGGTGTGAGCCACGGCTCCCAGCCCAAAGAATAAATATCTTAGACTTTGGGGGTCATGCAGGCGGTTTTGTAGCTACTCAACTCTGCTGCTGTAGTGCAGAAACAGGCACAGACCATCTGAAAGCGAATAGGCATGGCTCCGTTCCAATAAAACTTTCTTTATAAAAGCAGTTAGTGGCCTAAATTTGGCCAGAGGGCTGATGTTTGTCAACTTTTGGTCTATATAGAAAAGATAGATACAGCCAGCCCGGGGCTGTGAAGAGAAAGAGCCTTGAAACCAGATGGTCGTGGGTTCCAGACCGTGCCCAGCACACAGCAGGCATTCGGCCAGCAGTGGATACTGTTGGTTGCTAAGGAAAGATGATCGCAGAGCGTCTGAGGGCAGCTCTCTCCAAGCTCCACGGTGACAGCCTCAGCAGCGGCTGCGGTGTGAGCAGCTGGCCGGCAAAACACAGGCTAACTGCGGGGACCTGGACGCCTGCCCTTTTAAGTCCCAGGCGGAGCAGGGACCTTGGTGGCCCTTTTGTTCCCACTGAGGCTTCTTCCTGGCTTTCGGGTACAGCCTCGCGTGACCTCTAAGGTTAGCTGGGAAGGAGGAAGCCCTGAATGACTCCTAGAGATGGCCTTCACCCACACACTATCACCAGTTCCCTCTAGGGACTGGGCAGTCCCTTCACCTCTCTTGGCCTCAGTTTCCCCACCTGCTGAGTGCTTACATGCGCCAAGCATTCCTGGCACCCTGAGGTATTCAATCCTTAGAGACTGAGCGGAACTTGTACTCAATACCCTTCTTAAAGGCCTAAACAGAGAGGGTCTCCTCAGATAGGGTATTTGGGGTAAAGTGGGAGTTAGGCATTGATCATAAAGCCCAGTAAGTTCATTCGTTTTTTTTCTTTCTTTTCCTAATTATTATGTTTTTAATTTTTGTAGGTCTGGGCACAGTGGTTCACACCTATAATCCCAGCACTTTGGGAGGCTGAGGCACGACGATCACTTTAGCCCAGGAATTTGAGATTAGCCTGGGCAACATAGAAAATTCTCTACAAAAAATTCAAAGATTAGCCAGGCATGGTGGCGTATGCCTGTGATCTCAGCTACTTGGGAGGTTGAGGTGGGAGAATGACTAAGCCGAGGAGCGAGTTCACACCACGGCGCTTCTCTACCCCACTCCTTCCCCCACTGAATCATTTTTTGAGATGGGTCTCACTCTGTTGCCCAGGCTGGTCTCAAACTCCTGGCCTCTAGTGATCCTCCCACCTCGGCCTCTCAAAAGTGCTGGGATTATAGGCATGAGCCACTGTGCCTTATTTTTGCAGTGGCATCCCAAGCCCCGGGGCTGAACGCAGTAGCAGGGAGGGGCTGCGTGGTTGGGTTATGCGCAGGCCATTCCAGCAAAACGTCCTGAGCTGGGCTGCAGACATCCTCGTGGGCGTGGGGCTGGGCTGCCTGCTCCAGATCTCCCGGAGCCACACAGATGTGAAGGTGAGTGGCACGGGGCCTCATCACGTGCTGGCTTCCCGTCCTCGGCCCTCTGGCAGGGGAGACCATTCCCATCTCGGCAGTTTCCACTCTGGAAAAGGGGACTTGTCTGTTCATGGCAAGACTGGTTTGTAGAATATTTTTAAAATATTTTGCATAGAGGGTTGAAAAAAATGTTTTCCTGGTAAGTTCATAAGAGTATGTAAACAAGATGTAGCTTGACGGGGAGGGGCAGGAAGGCCCTGGGTTTGGATCTGGGTCCCATCACTTAAATACCTGGTTGTATGACTTTGAGTAAGCTAGGACATCTAGGCCAGGTGCAATGGCTCATGCCTGTAATCCCAGCACCTTGGGAGGCTGAGGTGGGTGGATCACTTGAGGGCAGGAGTTCGAGACCCGCCTGGCCAACATGGTAAAACTCCATCTTTGCTAAAAATACAAAAATCAGCCAGGTGTGGTGGCCCATGCCTGTAATCTCAGCTACTCCGGAGGCTGGGGAAGGGGAATCACTTGAACCCAGGAGGTAGAGGTCACAGTGAGCCAAGATCGCGCCACCGCACTCCTGCCTGAGTGACAGAGTGAGACTTTGTCTCAGAGAAAAAAGGAGTTAGGACATCTCTGGGCCTCAATTTCCTCCCCTCTAAAATGAGAT